CATGCCGCTCCCAACATCTTATAACAGTGCTGACCACTGCGCCGCCATGCCGCTCCCAACAACTCATAGCAGCCACTGGCCAGCTTTACCTTTTAGCTGCGTTAAAGTGGCAGCTCCCCATGGCACTTTCTCCATCAGTTCTCATTTGCTAGATGGAGGAAGCCCCCACCTGCACTGAGAAGGACATAGCATTCAGCTGGTGGTTTTGGCATTGCCAAACCTATCCCTTCTCTCCATGGTGTTACAAATTACATCCAGAAAAGTTCTCAATAATCAATATTAATCAAAAGGGTCATTTTCTGCTCACTCATTTTCCATGGGCACAGTGGCTTTGCTATATAATTAGATCTACTCTACTACTACACTTAGTTCTTGGATTATAAGCCTATACAAGAGAATATGAATGTGTGTGTGTGTGTGTGTGTGTGTGCAGGGAGGGTGTGGAGAAACATGTTATTGCCTGATTGTTTCTCTTGGGGATAGGAAGAGCAGGATTGAATTTCCATACATTTACCTATCTGCTGTAAAATGGTATTTTATATGCGTTATCCACAAATTGATATGAGGCATAGCTGCCTCCCTGTGGCTAGAGAATTCAAATCTGAAGACAGCTTCATGTTTCATCAGAGCTTTCTGAGTAGGTCTTTGCTGTCTCTGCTGCCTCACTGATCCAATTGCCTTGCGCTCAAAATGTAAATCATGACAATAAAAATGGTTGGTGGCGAGTGATGATAAACTACCAGATTACCTGGGTGGATCACAAGGCAGATTCTTCCAGCAAGCATCTGAGAGAGTGAACATGCAAACTTCATCTCATGATAAAAATATTGAACCTTGCCGCAGCCATGGAGTACCATATATATTAACATGCAAACACTTTGATTTGAGTTCTAAAGATTTTAGTTATAAAAATGACAAACTATGAATTTTTGTAAGACACTGAAAATGTGGGCCATAATATAAGAGGGTAATATTTCTCTCCATTTCTTTAGCAAAAGAACCACATATAGGGAACATTTATAGTTACATTCATGTGGCTGAGTGATCTCCAGGGATTGTCAGCTACCTGACCAAAGAGGGTGAGAATGTCGGTCTTGAAAACTGACTTGATAGAGATAGGTGCTGTTTTGTCATGTGTCATGTATACATTTGTCATGTATCCTAAAACACCACAAGAATGTGACTGAAGCCTTTGTCGATCCCTTGAAGTTTGCTTATAGAACCAACAAGTCAGTGGATGACACAGTGAACCTTTTATAACATTTTAAATGTATCTATAATTTATGTATCAGTTCTCACCAGTTGAGGAATATTGATGTTTTAAAAATTATGCAGCTGGTATCTTTTAACTGAATTACTTAAGGGAAGCATAGTGGCTTTTCCAGTCGTGTTATATTTCTGCCTTCAATATTCTTACTCCTAAATTCTTGTGGGCATCTCTTTCACAAGAGATAGTAACATCACCCACCTAACTTGAAAGGCATGTCAAAACACAGCACTGGTTTAATGTGGGCATGTGCCTTAGCATCTGTAGTAATGAAAATAACATTATTTGCCAATTGCACAGAAAGAGATTTGCCACTGTGCTGTGTCAGTAGGTGCTTTAAACTGCATACAACTGTATACAGAAGTGGAAGTCAGTCTTATGAACCAGTGAATCAAAAATTGGACTATTTGGGTCCAACCACTGTGTATTTGTAAAGACTGACCACATGAGGTCTGAATGTGTGGCTCCCATAGTCAAATGTGAAGTAAGCAGTGACATAGTCTAGGGTTGTTTTTTGGTGGGGGGGGGGGGGATACATTACATAAGGGGTGTCAAACTCCAGTCCTGGAAGGCCGGAGCCCTGCACAGGTTTTGGTTTACCTTCATTTAACACACCTGATTTAACTCCTTGTGCTAATTACAACACAGCTCTTGAGCTGAATAATTTGTGATAGAATAGGAAAGAACTAAGCTACACAAGCCTCCGCCCCCCCCCCCCCAGGACTGGAGTTTGACACCCCTGCATTATATCATCTTTACCAAATCCAAGGCATTTCAAACAGCATGGTTATCATACCATACTTCAAAATTAAGCCATTCCATCAGGATTATAGGTGACGGGGCAATCCTTCATTCTCCAGAAAGATAATGGCCCATCAGTAATAGTGAATCCCCCCCCCCAGTTTAATCTGGATAATAAAACAGTCATGACAAAGATGAACCAAATGATTGTACAATGTTCTTCTACCACCAGTACAGATGCATTTGTGGTAATCTGCCTAATGTGAGCATACTGCCATCTAGTGTTAATATTTGTCTAAACGGTGAAAATTGACTCCGTTCATTTGTTGCTACGATCAGCTTATCATCAGTCATTAATCATTTAATTCATTATTTAACAATATTAAAAACAATAGAAAGTCAATCAGCAATTAAAAGTGCAGCATCAAAATAATACATATTTGCTACAAGACTGCCATCCTTCCATCCATCCATATTGCAGCCACTTTGCTACATGATTACCGAAAGACCTGGAGCCTGTCCCAGAGGACAGCAGAGGGCACTGAGCAGGGGACAGACACACCAGTTCGCAAAATAACTTGCTGCTGCTGTACGTATTACTTATTGTTTATACACGTTGGACATGAACATAAACCCCTCTGTCCAGCCTCAGATTTTTGCACCGTCCTTTGTTTTTGCACTGTAAGTACTGTGAAATCCCCCGTCACAGCTGTTGTATGTTGCACTGTAGTTCTGGGGTAATGTTATTTCATACCAATGTGTACCGGTATGTTCATGATATAACAAAGACCACTGGCCTTATCTCACCACTTTATTGCGGCGCCGACTTCTTTAAAGAGGTACACCTCTGACCCGGAAGTGAAACTGCGGAGCTGGGTCTCCCAGGCATCACCGGGAAGTGCTTCCAGGAGCCAATAACTGCCATTGAGCGGCTGTGTCTGTGGAGTGATGTTTCCTTGCTGTATTTTATGCCGGTTTGGCTTCTAACGTGACAAACGGTAAGGAGATTGTAATTATTCGGTTAATTTAGCGGCCATTTATAAAGTGTAAGCAATTGGCTGTCGGGTTTGAGGACGAGCCACCTGCGGACAGTGTGTGAGTGGGGCTAAGAGGGCGTCGGTGTAGTCCGGGGAAGCTCTGTATCATTACTTTTCATATTTTTATGTTAACAGAAGGTGCAAAATGTTTCAAATACGGGGGGGGGTTATCGCCATTGAGTTGCACACAACAAGATTACGATAGTGACTTCCAAAGCCGATGCAATACGAGTATGCGCTAAATAGAATAAAAGACGTAAACAGTTAATAAAAGAAGCAAACTATATGTAAAATTAAATGTAATAAATACATTGTTAAAGGGACAAACTATGCAACAATAACAAATTGCAGAGGTGACAAGTGACAATTATCATAGACCATTACATTGTCACTCCTGCACAGTATTGTTACATAGTCTGTCTCCTTATATTTTATTATAATTTCTTATTATTGTTTGCTCATTAAACGAGCTTTTGCCTCTAAACCGGAATTTTTATTAGCTGTGTCGATCAGAATAAATTAAAGCTCTTTTCTTAAAGGGGCCCCGCTCTCACGTGCTTATTACATCGAAACTAATCATAGTTTATTTACAAATACACAGCAATAAATAAATAAATAAAAATATGAGAATAAGAAATCATTTACTATGCCTCGGTCTCTGCCATTGCTGACAGGCTGAATCATGGTGCCGCATCCCAGCAGTTGATGAAACCTTTGCTCCATGATGACTGCGGTGATGTGGAAGGAGACCTGTCTGATAGCTACCCTGGTTCTGGGCTGCTACTGGAACAGTTTGTCCTGTGGCTTCGTGTTCGATGATGTCTCGGCCATCCTGGATAACAAGGACCTGCGGCCGTCGACGCCGCTGCAAAACCTCTTTCTCAACGACTTTTGGGGGACGCCCATGTCTGAGGTCAGCCAGCGCCACATGATGTCTTTCAGTCTCCCCTGTGTCTTCCAAACATCTCCATATTTGAGGGGTTGGGCTTATTCTCAAAACATTGCTTTTGAGTAGCTTATTATTTCAACATTAAAGATTCTATTGTCACATGTACAGTGATACTGGTACAAATTGCAGTGGAACATGCAGTGAGATGTGCCCCCATACCAGGCCTGAGTAATGCTGACTTGTGTATACCTGTTATTAAGTGAGATGTACCCCCATGTTGGCCCGGGGTAACACTGATCTGGTCTGGCCATTTCCCTCTATAGGAGCGGAGCCACAAGTCATACCGGCCGCTGACTGTGCTAACCTTCAGGCTGAACTATGCCCTGAGCGAGCTGCATGCTGCCTCCTACCACCTGCTCAACGTGCTGCTACACACGGTTGTGTGTGTACTCTTCTTGCAAATCAGCCACCTGCTGCTGCTGCATCGGTCCTGCAGCCTGGTAGCGGCGCTGCTCTTTGCCGTGCACCCCATTCACACAGAGGCGGTGAGCCCGGGGAGCCTTTAGCGCCTTTCATTTTACACCTTATTTATTTCATGGATAGTTTAGGAGTATTTATCAGCAAGCTCTTAAAAATGTCAGAGTAGGAGTTACTCTAATTGCATATTTTACCAGTAGGTGGCAACAGTTGCTTATGCTTTTTTTCCCCACTGTAACAGTGGTACTGTGATCCTATGAGATGGTTTGTCTTACAGTTTAATAATCCTTGATTGTGCTGCAGGGTCTTGCTGTGGGTTTTCGCTTGGATTCTGTGATTTTGTTGTTTGAAATCCACAGAAAGCTGCAACAGTCTAATGGCCATTTTTTTTGTTTTGTTTTGAAAGGTCACTGGTGTTGTTGGCAGAGCTGAACTCTTGTCATCTATATTCCTCCTGGCAGCATTTTTAACTTACACTAAATCCAAAGGTCCAGACCATTCTGTTGGTGAGTGCTCCATGTTTCAGGCTGGTTTCTTGAAATGTAGCGACAATCCTACTTGTGACCTCAGATGTATTACATATGTAATGTTTGAACCTGTTCCTAAAACAAGCACAAATACATTTATCACCCTGAAACTGGATGTGCTTCCTGAACGCCCTTATTGGTCACCATAAACAACAGGCTGCTAGAGTGTCAAAGTTGCCATATTTCCTGTGTGTGTGGGTTATGCATATTTTTCATTGTGAATATCAAATATCCTCACAATATAATAAAAACCTGTTATTTTTCAGTCCTCCACAAGTGAAAACTCAATTTCATAAAAATCTGTGAAAGCAATAAAAAAAACTAAAACTGTGAAGCCTTGTGTTTTATGGTTAAGGTTAGAGCTGGTTAGGGGTTAAGGTCGTCATTGATTGGACTAGTGTTTCGCCCATAGAAATGAATGGATGGTCCCCACAAATGTATGAATACAAACAAGTGTGTGTGTGTGTGTGTGTGTGTGTGTGTAGGGAGAGTCATTCTTGCTTGTTGGTTGTGCTGATCAATAAAAGAGCTTTTGCTGAACCTGAGTCTGCTGTCTGCCTCACTCCACCAGTCGAGCAGCACCATATGGCTACAGAACAACACCACAAATACAGCTTTTTACTCTGCCTTAATTCTCAAGTTGTCTTTGCTTTTAAACAAATAATCATGTACGTGCTTACAGGTCCATCCTGTTTAATAAGTTCTTTTTTTTCCCACAAAGGTGATTTAGTGACAGTTTGTGTTGATTTTGAACTATGGTAGCTACTGTTTTCATCATTATGTATTGGTCTCACTTTTGCTAGGGCTAGAAGCTTCACCTCGAGTGTTACATTGTTTTTCTGAACAGTGGTTTACACGTAAATGTGTGTGTTTAATATTTTCCCCAAAGCTGCACTTATTAGATATGAAAAGCTGGAAGGAACTGTAATTAGTGGTAACCTTAACCAAACCCTGCTCTTGATTTGTGGATAATTATGTGTAACTGATATTTTCAGTTTTTCTGTCATCTTTGAAGTTGTTCCAGACTTTCTTTCTCGATTTTGTAACTTGAGTTTCTTTGTCTTTCAGTCTGGACCCCCATTGCCGCGACGGTGCTTTTGGTGGCTGCAGCCACACTGTGCAAAGAGCAGGGAATCACTGTCATCGGCATCTGCTGCATCTATGAGGTCTTCGTTGCTCAAGGGGTGAGAGCAGAGCAGCGTTTCCTGAAGACCTCCTGACAACTATGGTGTTTGTCTTCATGGCTATGTCACGATAGTGTTTCGCAAACCCAGTCCCCCTACAGACTCTTAGCAGCTGTCGTTTGTCCTCGCAGACTGCTCCGGGGGCCTTTCCTCGCAAGCTGTGGCCCACGTTTCTTCAGAGGTTGACTTTTGTATCTAGAAAGATAATTTGGGGTGTTTTCATTGCTATTATTATCATTATACAATGCTCTTGGCTGACATTTGTGTGCTATGTCACATTGGAGAAAATATGGTAATTTAGCATGCAGAACTTTGACCGCATTTCAATCGGACTGCATCCGTGTCTTTCCAAGTACGAATGAATCGGGAACGAAGGAGAAAGTCTGAATGAGATGCTGTCTTGAGTAGTCTTGCCACAAGTGTAACTCTTGCAAATTACCCTTCCAGTTCATTTTCTTATACTTGCTTGTTTTGTGTTGTGCCTGCTTTATGTTTCTCTGATGTCCTCTGAGGGCGCTCTTGCTAACTAGCTGACTCATCCATTTCGTTTGCCATGTTGTTCCAGTTCACCCTGCCAATGCTGACTGATGCCATTCTCCAGCTCCTGCGAGGGAAGGATAGCTTGCCGTACTCCATTCTGCAGACCTTACTGAAGCTCATCGTTCTCATCATCACCACACTGCTCCTGGTCATCATCCGCGTTCAGGTCATCCAGTCCCAGCTGCCCGTGTTTACCAGGTTTGAAACGATCTGTCATTAAACTGGTATTTCATTGTTATCAGATTGCCGACGGAAATGACTTTGTTTGTGTTCAGGCAAGTCTGGTAAACCTGGTAAGATTCAGCTTTCTTTGTTCTTCTTTGGAACTCAAACAGAGCTCACTTGTTGAATTTCTGAAGAGTTCTTGCCTTTATCTGCCACCGTTATGCTGTAATTGAAAAGTGTTACTTTTAATGTTGAATATGACACTGACCCAGGAAAATATTTTAAGTTCTGTTTTTTTTGTATGTGTTCTGTAGGGTAGCCGAATGAAACACTAACACTAACAGGCTAGGATTGCAGAAGGAAGAGTAACGCTAACGGGCTAGGAAATCACTTTCGGTGACATTAAAATTCTTTTTTATTCGTTTTGTAGGTTTGATAACCCTGCAGCTGTCAGTCAGTCACCCACAAGGCAGCTGACATTTAATTACCTCCTGCCTGTGAATGCGTGGCTACTGCTGCACCCCTCTGAGCTCTGCTGTGATTGGACTATGGGCACCATCCCCTTGGTGGAGTCCATCTTGGACGTCCGTAATCTGGCCACAGCAACATTCTACTTGCTGCTGGGTCTGCTGGCTTTCCACTGCCTGCGCTCTTCCAGCAGGTCCTCCAAGATCGTCGTCATGGTGGGTCCTGCACACTCTCAGCTCAATGCTTCCTTTTTGTTTTATAGAAAACAAGATTTTATGATGGAGAGAATACAGTATGTAAGGATCAATGGTGTCCTTTCAGGCAAGCTTCACTCCTCCACTGGATCACCCCAGGGGTGTGTCCTCTCCTCTCTCCTCTATATTCTATGAACAAACAGCTATAGAAGTAAGTTTGACAATAGTCAAATTAAGTTTGCCGATGACTCAGTCATTATTAGTCTACTGGAGGTGGTGGATAACTTTGTGACATGGTGTAAGGACTCTGTCCTAGAACTGAATGTGTCAAAAACTAAGGATATGGTGATTGACTTTAGGAAGTGTGCTGCTATTCCTAAGGCAACAGTGATAGAGGGATCAGAAATGGAACTGGTAGACAATTATAAGTATCTGAGTACGGTGCTGGACAATTGGTTAAACTTCCAAGCTAATTCTGAGGTTATCCATAAGAAGGTTCAGCGGCGTCTTTATTTTTTGAGATGTATGTTCCAAAATGATGACGCTGTTTTGTAGAACCTTTATTCAGTCTGTACTGTCCTCTTCCATTGTGGCATGGTTTGGTAACCTCAACCTTGCAGAGAGAAATAAGCTTGGCCGGCTTGTCAGTGTAGCTGGTAAACTCATTGGGGTAACTCAAACCCAGCTTTGTGACCTGTATGACCGTCATGTACTCAGGAAGGCATTGGCAATATTGGATCATAAAGACATCCTCTCTATAGGAGTCTGTGCTTCTACCTTCAGGTAGGAGATATACAGTAGAGTTCCCACACGCAGGACTAAAAGATATAAACTTAATTTTGTTTGTGCTGCTGTTAATATACTGAATAAGCACAGGTGATGTCACTGATGGATTTAACTATTTCTGTTCTGGCTCTTCTGCTTTCCCAGTCTCTCCATGTAGTGACGATGCACTGGGGTGTACTGGGTACTGGTCTGTGCTGTGGTTTTGTGGATGGTCTGTTTTGTATTATGTATTTGTCATTATCTCTATGTTGGTATCTGGTTTTAATGTATCATTTATTACTTGTTGTATTACTTTTTAAATGCCTGGCTGCAACCTAAATTTCCCTGGTGGGATAATAAATTTGACTTGACTTGGATGATGGAACATCTTTTATTTTCACACAAGTCAGCAAAATGTCAGAGAGTAAAATTTTGTTGTTTATTGTTGCTGGCTCTGCTCCATGTAGTGTGATCTGTGTGTTACTCTGTGACATGCTGCACTTATCTTTCTTCATGTAGTCCAATGAAACATGCATGTCCTCTGAGTCTGATTTGAAGGGGAAGCTTTTATGTTTGTGTAGTGAGTGCTTTGTTCATCATTTTCTGTCGTTTCTTTTTTTGTGCAAACTGGGGTTTATGAACTTGTTCTTCAGTTAGCAAAAGCCTTGAGGAACAGATGCATCATAATTAACTGACTGAAAATAAACAAACCAGAGTTTGAAACTGTGCCTATGTTATGAAGTAAACTGCTCTTGAACTGGTTTCATTAGAATGTTATATCTGGCAACAGAAAAAGCCCCTGGCACTGGGCCCAACTGGATGATTTTTGTCAATATTTGATATTTTACTCTTGTGCAGTTGTCCATGTAAGAGTATGATATTGCTTTAGAGAGTGCAGTATAAGTAGTTAAGTGATGCAGTGTTGACGTGAAATGCTTAGGGCTGTGTTTCGGTTTCAGTACTGAACATAAGGTTATGGTTTAATTTAGATTTTAAAACCCCATAGTTATGCTTCAGAGAAAGACTGAAGAGTTAGTATGTGTTACTTCAACAGCTACTGTTTTTTTGTTGAAACTCGACCGAATAGTGAATGCTGAATGGTGCCCAGTAATAACCTGGTATCCCATTCAGGGTGTCCCCTGTCCTGTGATGACCTGGCATCCCATCCAGGGTGTCCCCTGTCCTGTATTTGATAGGGGATTGAAAAGATGGATTGAGATATTATCTGTTATGACAAGTCACTTTGAGTTTCAAATTAAATTGCTGGCTTTCATCTGTCTACTGGTGTCAACGATTCTTTAAAGCCTTGAGTAAATTCGGAATAATGCCATTCTGTTATTTTATTATTCGTCCATTTTTAATGCAGAGACCATTTGAAGTATTACATTACTTTTTAATACAAATTGTTTTTTTTATATTCTGACAGCATATCTGCTTGTATTTTTAAATTAATTCTGGTCTCTGGCCATTCAGACTTGATAAATCTTGATATTCATCAGAAGTTAAATTTTGTGTTTAAGGCGAATGAATCAGGCCTCGCACTGGTAGATTCGGTCGATTGAGTAACACCTCCTGTCTCCTCCAGGCCCTGGCTTGGATCGTCCTTCCTTTCATCCCTGCCTCGAACCTTTTCTTCCCTGTGGGCTTTGTGGTTGCTGAGAGGGTTCTCTACATCCCTAGCATGGGCTTCTGCATCTTAGTGGCCCATGGATTCGAGATACTTTCTCATAGTAGGTGAGGACACCCTTTGTCAGCCTTTGAAAGATTTAAAATATTTAGATAAGCTGCTGATGTTTATTTGTAACAAGCTAGTTTTATGCTCTGCTCGTCATACTTATACAGTTTGTGTTTTTCAAAGTAATATCTTGGCAAGTAGTTTTGTTTTGTTTTCTGGAAGTCCAGCTGGATTCCTGAATGATGAAAGGTGTTGAATGCAGCCACACAAAGCTGATGTTCTACCTGAATGCGTGATTGTGCTTCTGTTCTAAATGATGGTTAGCAGCCTCTGCTTTCTGTCATCTTATGCAGGAACCTGAAGAAGGTCTCGTGGTTCTTCATGGCTGCCATCCTCACAGTCCAGTCTGTGAAGACGTTTAACCGGAACTGGGACTGGGAGTCCGAGTACACGCTCTTCACCTCAGCTCTCAAAGTAAGGAGTAAAGCGTACTACTAAAATATAGGGTATTGCAGGGTTACTCAAGTTGATCAAGTGGGATAGATTTCATTTTTGAGAGGTGCTTTGTGACTCAGCATCAGCCACCAGTGTGTGACCCAGTAGAAAATGGTGCCGCATAAGGCCTTTGACCCTATGTGCTCCAGGAACTGCTCACTTTTGACACTTTTAGCATCTGCCAAATGACAGAATGTAAAATGTCAGTCTGTTGTCGTCCCAGCTGCTGTCCAGTTCAAAGCAGCTTCTCCTATCACCATTTGTGAAGACTCATTGGCGTCACCCTCAATCCTATAACTAAACCAACTTTAAAATACTCTCATTGATGCTTTGTCGCTGCTTTTCCCAACACTCAGCCAGGCTTGAATTTTGACATCTGTGACCTTCTAGCCTGAAATTTGTTCTCATAATTGATCTATCAACTAAACAGATGTATTGTATGTACTGTGAAAATGGCTTCCCCTAGGTGAATAAGAACAACGCCAAGCTCTGGAACAACGTCGGTCACGCTTTAGAGAATCAGAATCATTATGAAAAAGCTCTGAAGTATTTTCTGCAGGCCACCAGAGTTCAACCAGGTAGGAGTCAGCGCTGTTTTGTCTGAATATTTATCTTTCACTAAAAGATTTCACATGCTGGGATTAAATTCACTGCCATAATGTGTAGTTTGATAGTACTGCTTACAATAAAAGTCTGAATGTATTATTTGTGAGGTATTTCAAGGTACCACTCAACAGTTAATGATATGTTCATTAACTTGGGGCTGTTTGCTTGTTTGTTGGGGTCATCGGTTTAGCTTTTGCCCACTTAAGACTTAAGCTTAAGTTTTTCTGGAAATTTCTGGGAGCTGTCCTTACACAGCTTGTCGCATCACCTGCATCCTGGCAACTTTCTAGTCAATTGTAGGGACATTAATCTGAGTCATGGCCAGTAGCATGTCGCTGGTGAGAATTTTAAGCCTGTTTTAAGCCCTTGCTTAGTCCTTGTGAGCTCAGAGTAGAGAATCATGGCCGCCACCTGCCCTTTCCGGTGTTTCCTTTTCCTGGGGAACAAAGCCCATTATCAATGTGTTGCAGAGGGTGTTTGGAGAAGCGACTGAGATTTCTCAGCTTGATCACACTGGGCCAAGACCAATATGTTTGGCAGATTAGGAAAATCCATGCCCTGGAAATCCACACTATCGCTTTTGCTTTCTAAATCCACAACTGTAAACAGTCCACTGCAGCTAACGTTTGAATGATGTTGGTTGGAATTAAATAAATGCTTCGGTTTGCGCCTTGGTAAACAGTTTGCATTCCTTTGGGCGCTTTGTGAAGTGCTGTAGTGCAGCTGCTGGTCTGCATGCTTGCTTCCTGCTTCTCACACATCTGACCACTCACCCGCTCTCTGGCAGATGACATCGGTGCTCACATGAATGTGGGCAGAACCTACAAGAACCTGAACCGGACCAGGGAGGCTGAGGAAGCTTATCTGACAGCAAAGTCCCTTATGCCGCAGGTATAATGGACAGAGATGCGGTCCTGATGAACACCGGGCTGGTCAGCTCAGTCACTAGAGCATGAGAGACTTAATCCATGGACCGTGGGTTCAAGTCCAGCCTGGAATTCGTTCTTGACGTCTGTTTTCCCAGATCATTCCTGGGAAGAAGTATGCTACCAGAGTAGCCCCCAACCACCTCAATGTGTACATCAACCTGGCAAATCTGATCCGCGTGAACGACTCGCGTTTGGAGGAGGCCGACCAGCTGTACCGACAGGCCATCAGCATGAGGCCGGACTTCAAACAGGCCTACATAAGCAGGTACCCAAAGGAGAGCTTTCGTCCGGCAGCATTCCGCTCCCAGGCGTACGATGCAACACCCGGAAAAACCCCAGACTTGGGAAGGTAGAGACTGATTCCCTGAGTCTTCACAGAGGGGCTGCGGTCATCAAGCCCATAACGTCCTTTATGCAGGTTATAAGCAGACAGTATTAAACATTTTCACTTGGGAGTATTTCATTTATGATCGGTAAAGACTAAAACTTACTTGTGCTAAATGGTCACAGATCTCATCACAAGATTTTATCTGGCTCTTAGAGGGTTGATTGTCTCTGTTGTTGTCTCTTCCGGTCAAAATTAAGCAGCATACAGAGCATTTTTTTAATGTTTCAATGAAGGAATTCTCAGACCAGTTGGTCTGTTTTACAGTCCATGCTTCTGTCTTGGTGAGAATGGGATCTACTGTGTCCTTATGAGTGTCCTTGAATGCTTTGGCTGTAGAGGGGAGCTTCTCCTTAAGATGAATAAGCCTTCGGAGGCTCGTGATGCCTACTTGCGGGCCCTAGAGCTGGATGGGACCAACGCCGACCTGTGGTACAACCTCGCCATTGTCCACATCGAGATGAAGGATCCTGCAGAGGCTCTGAAGAACTTCAACCAGGCTCTGGAGCTGAACCCCAAACACAAGCTGGCCCTCTTCAATTCGGCTTTGCTGATGCAGGAGTCTGGTGAGATACTGATTCTGGCCTTAGTCTGGCCCTCGTACCACAGTTGCTTATAAAATAAATTATTCTCTTTCTCCATTTTAGTCACTAGCACAAAGCTGAATATCCTTCTAGTTTTGGGTGTCCCTAATATATCTGGAGCAGTACCTGTCACTGTTTTTTGAAAGACCCACTGTCATTTTGCCACATACAACAAACCTTCACTTCGCTTAAAATAATGTGTCTCGCATCGTGCTTGTAGGTGAGCCGCGCTTTAGACCGGAGGCCAATCGACGGTTCCTCAGCTACATTGAGGAGGAGCCAGAAGACGCTAATGGCTACTTCAACCTGGGCATGCTTGCAATGGATGAGAACAAGAATGAGGCGGCAGAGAAGTGGATGAAGAAGGCCATTGCGCTGCAGGCTGGCTTCCGCAGCGCCCTCTTCAACCTGGCATTGCTGTACTCGCAGGCGAGGCGTGAGGTGGAGGCTCTTCCTGTGCTCGATGAGCTGCTGCGCCATCACCCCGAGCACGTGAAGGGACTCATCCTCAAGGGTGACATCCTGATGAACCACAAGAAGGACACCAGGGGTGCCAGGGAGTGCTTTGAGAAGATCCTGCAGATGGACCCCACCAATGTGCAGGGCAAGCATAACCTGTGCGTGGTCTACTTTGAGGAGAGAGACCTGCTCCGGGCCGAGAAGTGCCTGGAGGAGACGCTGATGCTGGCACCCCATGAGGAGTACGTCCGCAGGCATCTGAACATCGTTCGTGGCAAGATGGCTGCCATGAGTGCAGCGGGCCACGGCCTGGCGCCCCCCACAGGTGGGGCTTCCTCACCGGGGGATGAGAGCACTGTGCCTGTGAGCGAGAAGAATACGTGGAAATCCTCCATGGCCAAAAGCAGCACCAAGACCGGGGAGCAGTCAAAGAATCTGGAGAGCAGCCAGTCAGAGAAGAGGACTAAGACCAAGCCGTCAAAGGAAATGAAGGACATTGAGAAGAAGCGTGCGGCAGCCCTTAAAAGGCTTGAGGAGATCGAGCGAATATTAAGTGGAGATTAAGCTGGGTCGTCAGCAGCCTGCTTTTGCTGAGACAATGCAAACATGCTGATGGATAGGCCACCGTGTACCTGAGGATTCGCTCGTCATTCATGCATGCTGCCACAATTCGAAGCAGAAAGATTCATGAAAGCAGTCCGTGGCTTAAATTTAGTCTGATTGTCAGAAGGAGCAGAAAGGGTTAATAAAGATGCATGACATTAAAAAGCACAATTTTTGGAAAAACCCATGACCTCCTTCAGAATAAGCAGAAGATGGATGGATCAACGGATGGATGGAATTTCCATTGAGGAATTTTTTTTTCATTTCAAAATGTCATGGTATTATAGTTTATGGTTTTAATTTCTGATATATAATATGACATGTTGTTAATCACTGGAGTTGGATTTGTAGTCTTTTTTTTCCCTCAGTAAATGTGTTGGTATCACACGCTTTAGGGAGCTAATTGTCTCGTATCCAGAGCCGGGTCTGTCTGAACCTAAAATAGCTCGTCCGCAGCTGCACGCTCATTCAGACAGCGCACTTCCTGTACAGTCACCATGACGTCCCCTTATTTCCTGTGCCCATGGGCTGTACTGATTGCCGTGCTGCTAGTGTACCAGCACTGTGGACTTCCTGCTTATCTTATGCCCCTATCAATGTTTGTTTTCTTTAAAGTTTCAAAACGCAATGGAATTTGTACTGGTTTATATAAAAATGTGTGCGTGTGTATAACTGTGATCTTTGTCAACCTAGCCCTAAGACGGTTGTGTCTCATCACCCAGTCATATTTAGACATTTCAGTATTGCAGCGTTGTTCTGGATCTCACTACAGTCTGATGTCACCACGTTATCCTGCGCTTTTTTATTCTCAATTCCTTAAGAACTGTAATCCTGCACTTTAGCAGTTTCAAAGACACCTAAAAGGAGTTTATGAAATGTGTTATGAAAAGGAGCTTTTTCAGTTATCAATATGACAAAGTAAATATTTGACACTAAAGCAATAAACTTTTTCCTTCGGCTCATAATCATTTTGTCAAAAGCCCCAAACACTGGACTGTCTGTCCTTTGGGCTGCCATTTATGAAACTATAATTCCCATATTTAGTGTTTTTGTTTCTACTCCCAGCTATTTACTGTACTATAAATAGAAGAGCATTAATGAAATCTGACTTTGTTCCTGTGAGTTATCGCTTAAGGTGCTTCAGAGATTCCCTGACATTTTGATGGTGATAGAGACTGATATGCAATCTTCACTGAAGGGCACTATTAGGGTCTTTTAATCGATTATACTGTGTTATTTGGATCATGAGTGGTTATGGGTAATAAATTTTAAATAAAAGTGATTTGAAACTATATGTGGTCTTTTTTCTAGGCATTTTGTATGGGTGAAACATCCGGTATTTAAATATGAAAATATATTTTTTACGGATATCATGATACTTGTAAATATATCAGGCAATGAGAAAAAAATATGGAGTCAGGAGCAATATCCATGATGTGGAATATTACTATTTTTTTTAATAATATCGAAGTTTGTTGTGCCAGCTTAACTGATATTCATATCACAATCCTGTAAGCCCCGTTTAAATGCCCCTTACGGACACGAGACCCATTTAAACGCCACTTATGAAGACGAGCCTCGTTAAAATGCCCCTTACGGACACGAGACCCATTTAAATGCCACTTATGAACACGAGCCCCGTTTAAACGCGCATTAAGAATCTAGATCCTAATGTACTGTACTCAATGTTCATAAAGGGTGTTTGATTCACACTCTCAGCAAATTTATTGAGACGGAAATTTGTTATCTGGCTTTCTTTTGCATGTTTGGGTTGAAATCACCGTTATGCTCCTGTCACAATCCCACTCAAGCAATCAAGGGTTATCAGATGCATTGAAATGTGCTGTAAATTGAGCATTAAGCTGCTTTATCAATTTTTGAATATTATTTAATATACTGATAAACTCGCTTAATTGTGAGAGATATGTATTGTCAGATATGTGGGATTAACAGAGACAAGATTTTTACTTAATGCTTGTTACTTGTTATTTTCTACCTTAAAACATTATTGCTTATTCTAACTAAAAATGACTGCCAGCATTAAGAATGAGTATTTTTTATAGTTTTATACATTTCAAAATATATGAGCAGGAAACTTTTGGTTTACCAGATCATTACTACATCGTAATGGCACATATATATGACTATGGTAATGCTAAGCAATAGTGTAAATCCAGTGACATGCAAAATTGTAACAAACAAGGACTTCCTGTGAATGCAACACGCACTATATATTTAGAAATGTCTCACAATATGAGCCTAAAAATATCTGCACACTACAGCCACAGTTGTGGGAAAGCAGCCCTGAGAATCTACTTTGGGGCTCATCATCATCACAAGGGTCATCATGAAGCACCAAGGAAGCATTTTCACAGGAAATGCAAAGGCAGTATGCTCGGCACTCCGCACCTTTTAGCAGAATTGATGCCGTTTCTCTCACTGAGAAATTACTTCCCTTTGAAAGGTGAAAAATCTAAAACCACGCCTGCTTCTGTGTACCAAATATACAAAAAGAACATCTGTAAATTTTGGCCATGAATTTGGTGTGGAGACAATAATTCCATTGAGGGAGGACAGGAACCCAAATAATCATGTCGAAAGGACCCTCCATATCCTGATACTGTTCTACATGGACAGGAACCCAAATAATCATGTCGAAAGGACATCCTGATACTGAACATATTATTCTATGTTCAAAAAAGTGAGCCATGGAAAGTATCTCCAATTTTAAACTGAAAACCTTTGTAATATCCTTTCTGTATTATTTTCTGCCATTATTTAAATTGTAACAGAACAGCAACCCTGCATTAGAGGAGTCATTATGGATTACATGTTTGTGAGATGTCTGTTTCGCTGCTTTGTCCAGGAGAGGCTGTGTGCATCTGCTAAAACCTCTCATATACATTCTGTAAAAATATGTTTTCACAACCACGAGGAGGCAGTTTTTCCTAAAATGGTCAAAATGTACATTAAAAGATTATGTAGTAAATGAAGAAAATAGTACAAATGAACATTTGAAATTAATTTTATTGACGATTATTAGACTAGATTCATTGATTCATAGATATCACACTTCTGTGCTGAATATAATACTCTGCATTACCCTGTTATGCAGTACATGTTTTTATCTTTTGAAGCAATAACCAGTTATTGCACTCCTGTGATGTAAAGTGGGATTTTGTGTCATATCATCCATATCCAGACACACAGTAGCATCAGATAATGTTCCCTCAGAATCACGATGAGATGCAGACAGCACATGGCAAGAACAGCAATAATAACAACAACAACAACAACAACAACAACAATAATAATAATAATAATAATAATAATATAGTGATATTATTATTATTATTATATTGTTAGAAAAAGGGTGGATTGCCCTCTTCTGGTGCAGGATGAGTTACTGCCTCGTGGAGGAGTTTAAGTATCTCAGGGTCTTGTTCACGAATGAAGGAAGAATGGAGCAGGAGATCGATAGATGGATGGGTGCAGCTTCGGCAGTAATGAGGACGCTATACCATTCTGGCATGGTAAAGAGGGAGCTGAGCTGGAAGGCAAAGTTATCGATTCACCAGTCAATCTATGTTCTTACCCCTCATCTACGGTTGTGAGCTCTGGGTAGTGACTGAAAGAAAGATTGTGGATACAAGTGGCAGAAATGAGTTTCCTCCACAGGGTGTCTGTGCTCAGCCTTAGAGACGGGGGGGGACTCAGACATTCAGGAGGGGCTCAAAGTAGAGTCACTACTCCTCCACATCTAAAGGAGCCAGTTGAGGTGGTTTGGGCATCTGTCTAGGACAGGGGTCTCCAACTCCGGTCCTGGAGAGCTACTATCCAGTAGGTTTTCTATCCTACCTGGCTTCTGATGAGCCGCACTAGTTCTCAAGTAAATACCAGGAGCAGGTGTGGCTCATCAGAAGCCAGGTAGGATAGAAAACTTACTGGATAGTAGCTCTCCAGGACCAGAGTTGGAGACCCCTGGTCTAGGATGCATCCTGGTCGCCTCCCTGGGGAGGTGTTTTGGGCATGTCCAGTCGGAAGGAGACCCCAGGGCAGACCCAGGACACAAAAGAGAGATTATATCTCTCTTGGCTGGCCTGGGAACGCCTTAGGATTCCCCCGTGGAGCTGGAGGAGGTGGCTGGTGAGAGGGAGGTCTGGGGATTCCTGCCTAAACTGCTGCCCCTGAGACCTGATCCCAGATAAGCAGCAGATAATGGATCATCATCATCATCGTCATCATTATTTTTTTAACAGCTCAACGTTATCTCATTGCAGTGTTGCGTTTTTTATTGGAAAGCTGTTTTAATTTAAAGCTGTGATTTAGTTGTCTTTTTTCTCAAGTGACGAATACTAATATGATAATTGTCTAGCACTGACAGACACACTGCTCTTTCTGCTTGTAACGGTTCATCATCAAAGTAAAATGGAATTTCATTGCTCCATGATGATGTATATCCAACTAAATGGATTGCATTTGTATAGCACTTTTCTACTCCTACGAGTACTCAAAGCACTTTTCAATACATGCCTCACATTCACCATCACACACTGGGAGCAGAGGCTGTCATGCAAGGCACCAACCTGCTCACTGGGAGCAATTTGGGATTCAGTGTCTTCCTTTCAGTACACTTTGATGGGGTCAGGAGGAACCAGGGCTCAAACCTGCAACCCTCCCGTTGCCGAACGATAGCACTACATCCTGCACCACCATCTTCCCCAACTAAGCTGCTAAGCCTACTGAGAGATTACGGGCAGCAATAAAAAAAAAAAAGTTAACTGGTGAGTTTGTGCAGGAGCCAATACTGAATGTTCAGAAGACATCGTAAAAACTAAAAACTTTGACTCCTCAAAGGACGTCTTTTCAACGTCCAATAAGATGTTCAAAAGACATATTTTGAATGTCTCTTTGGTCAGCGGGTAGTAGACGAATCAATTACAGGCTAGAGCACTGGTATATTAAAAAGTAATTATGTTTAATGGAAGTAGTGTGTGGCACTGTTAGTGGGTTTCCACTAACAAAGAACTGATTCCGTTCCGGTTTGCAAATCAGTCCAGTTTGGAACCAGGGGCCAATTTAGGAACCAGCCGGCTTTTCCACCAATTTCTCAACAGTCATCATCATCGCATCATCAGTGGTGACTGTAGCTGGATAGTGTACATTCATCTCCATGCAGTGGTGTAAAGTAAAGTATAAAAAGTAGGTTCTTTCGAATTTACATATCACTTGGGTATTTTAAGTTATCTACACTGGATGAAGCTAGTTATAAGAAACACCTTAGTGGTGCAGCTTGGACACATCCTCAGTGATGAACCCAGGGTCACAGGGTGTTTCGGGTCTTAGATCATCAGACACCCTCACCTGAGCGACCCAGCCGGGGATGATCAGACCCCGACTTGTGTCCAAGCAGCGCACTAAGCCATACGTCGCCCCTTTTGATCCACAGCCACCTAGAGGCTTTCTCCGCTGCCTCACAGATGTTTCTGGTGGCTTTCCTTTCTTGAGCACCTCTGATTCCAAGCAACCTGAGTGATCGGTGAGGTTCTTGAGGTGGATAAGTTCTACCGAGTCCACAACAGCCATGAAATTCTGA